TATATACATAGGCATACCCAATTAACTAAGCCAAAACCCAAATTGTAATGGTGGCTACCACCATGGGTGCTGTAAGAGGGGAAAGTGGTGGGTGTTGGTTGAGTGGAGGAAATGGGATGAGCTTGGTTGGTGTTTGCAACTATGGACTATTTATAAAAAGTTATGGTTTTGTTATTGACAATGCATTGCCTTTTCCTATCATTGTTTGATGTTCATTGAAGTTTTTGAAAACTGACTTCACTTTTTGTTTTTAGTTTTGGTGCAAAAAGTTATGGTTTGGGTCTACATTCTAGAGAGAGAGATGAGTGTTTGTTTGGGTCTAAATTCTAGAGGGGGATGAGTGCTTGTTTAGGTTTAAATTCTAGAGAGAAATGAGTATTTGTTTGGGTCTAAATTCTAAATACATATATGTATTTGATGATGGTATGAGAAGTGTATGGTTTGCCATGGATGAGAAAGAAATAAAATAAGAAGAAGAGCAAAAGAATACAATGAGAGAAGAAGAAGAAAATGAAAAGAATACATAAAAATTAAAGAAAAATGGGAGAGGAATATTTTGGTTTATAATGGCACTAAGAAGAAAATTAGGAAAAGAAGTGTCATGACCCGAACCCGCCCCTATGGGTTAAGGACACAACCGGCCAGTAATCCTGAGATTACCTACGGCCTCAGACCAAAAGAGACATAACCTGTCAGAGTAAAGGGGCCAAACGGAAGCAATAAATAAAAACTTTGTCCATTGAGCCGTGCTTATATGCACATCAAACAAACCATACTCAGATACGTTAATAACCCACATCAAAAGTACAGTTTCACAAAATTCATTACAGACAGGATCAACCAAAACGAGTCAACTTGTGACAGACTATTTACAGATATACATAAAGTCCTTGCCGGCAAGACAAAACATAATTACATAGCAAAAAGGCAAGGGTAGGTCTCAAGAGTGAGACGCAAGGCTGACTTCCTCAAAACTCAGATTTTTCCTAGTGGACTTCACTGGGGCTGGGTTTGGACTTCCCTTGGCTCACCTACAAACACATGAATGAGCGTGAGCGATAGCCCAGTGAATAATATCAAACACAGAA